TATACACAATGGAGTTCTATGCCTCCATCAGAAAGAATGACATTGCCCCATTTGTTAGGAAATGGAAAAACTTGGAAAAAATTATATTAAGTGAAGAAAATCTGGCAGTTACATGGTTGTAAGTTATGTTTGTCCTAATTTTTTAGAATATAAGCAGATGGCTCAGAACATTTTTAAAAAGTTTAATGAAATAGATGTTAGAGTTCTTACTAATAATAACAGTTACCTGTTACCTTGAATGACATGAGTATTTAACTGGTAATTTTGAGTACAGAAAGAACAGACAGTTGCTAATTGCTTTAATATTCATGGTATTAAAATGCAACCAGACCAGGCTTTCTTCCATGGTTCTTTTTTTTTTTTTGGTCAGTTATGGGGCTTGAATTCTGGGCCTGAGCTCTGTCCCTCAGCTCTTCAGCTCAAGGAGAAGGCTCTACCACTTGAGCTACAATGCCACTTCCGGTTTTCTGAGTGTTTAATTGGAGATAAGAGTTTCATGGACTTTCCTGCCCAGGCTGGCTTTGAACCATGATCCTCAATCTCAGCCTCCAGAGTAGCCAGGATTACAGCGTGAGCCACCGGCGCCCAGCTCCATGGTTCTTTTTTAAATTACATTTCTATATAATTGTCATCAGAGTCCCTAAAACCACATATAGTTTAATATCACTCCCCATACTCCATATGTGAGTTTAGAGCACATTGACTCATCTTAGTAAATGCTGTGTGCTTTTAGGGATTTGATAAAAAGATCTCTACTGATATTTAATAAGCTTAAGGAATGAAATTCAGCATAGAGGTAGTGCTCCTTGGTCAAAAGGCAGAAGATAGGGTAAGGGACACATTCATGTTTTGTGCTTGTAATTGTAGTACATCAAATTAAGATTAAATTCACTTTTGGCTTTTTTTTGTGTGTGTGAACAACTAAATTTGAGGGAATCCAGGTAGGATTCCCACTTATACTTACCACTTACTTATAATAAAGTTAGAAGCCTTTTAAATTTAGCCTTTTGAAATATGTGTGAAGAATTTTGGCATCCTGTGCCATTCAGTGTTAAACACTGTTGTAGAAATGGCTTTATGTTTTGGAGATTCAACAAGTCAGCTATATTGCAGGGCTTTTAAAAGATCCTTTTGGTGGTATACTGCACTAATGAATCATCATCTTTTTGGCATAATAGGCCAGTCCATTACCCATTACAAATTCATCTAAAGTGGTCCTTTTCTCAGTTTGTAGACACCTTTCTCCTAACTCCACCATCTTGTCTAAACAGAACTTTCCTTCTAAGTCTGTTCTCTTCTATTGTATAATTGTTCTACTAATGCACAGTTTCTTCCCTTTGTTACCCTTCTAGATTTATGTTACTTGTTTAGTGTCCATTTTTCCAAACAAGATCTATACCCCTCTTAGACTAAAGTCTTAGCTTGGGATTTGTATATAGTAGGCATTTAAATATTTATGGAATTAAATTAAATATTTATTGAATAAATGAGCCATACTATTACCCAGCTATTTTCTTCATCTAGTCTACTAAAGCTTCTCTAATAGTATCTTTTAAGTGATTTGCTGAAATCTACACTTACTTGAATTCTCCTAATCTTGTTATTTTAGAAGCCTTAGTAGTATGAATTACACTTATTAAATTCATATTGGCTTCTAAACCTCTCATGCACTAATCTCTCAAATTCATTGCAAGTTAATATAGATGACACCAAATTTAAGACCAAATTCAAAACATAGGTAAAAGTAGCAGTGATAAAGAGCCGGGTATAGTGACAATTGCCTATAATCCCAGCTACTCAGAAAATGAAGGCAGAAGTAGGCAAGTTCAGGACCAACCTGGGCAAAAGATCACCAAGATTTCATCTCAATACATAAGCCAGAAGTAGTGGTGTCTGCCTGTTATCCCCACTCTGTAGGATCTGTGGCCAACCCCCAGGCAAAAGCACAAGATCCAAATTGAAAAATAGCTAAAAGCAAAAAGGATGAGGATATAAGCTTAAGTTGTGGGGTGGCTGCTTATCAAGCTGAGACCCTGCGTTCAAACTCCAATATCACCAAGAAAAAGAGTGGTACCAGTTAAAACAAAACCCAGTTTTACTTCTGCCCTGAAGGTTCTGCATCCTCATATCTAATCAGTCACAGATCAAAAATATCCAAAAAAATGGTTTATAACTATACATGTACAGTCTTTGTTCTCATTTCCTTAACAGTACAATACATAGCATTCACTGTATGTGATATTAGCTATTCTGAATAATCCAGAAATTAAAATATGTGACAGAATGTGCATAAGTTATGTGCAGATACATCATTATATTATATAAAGGACTTGAGCATCTACAGATTGTGTTATATGTAGGGGTCCAGGAGCCAAACCTTCATGGATACCTGTACTGAAGGATGACTCTGTACACATTACACCAGTGCAGATTGAGGGGAAGTCTCAGCTGATGAAGAGCAGTGTTGGCTTCTGGGAGAAAAAGATGTCCTCTGGGTCCAAAGGATAGTTTTCAGAAATGAAGAGAGCATTTCACACCTTAAATGTGAACAAAGGATGCAGATATTTCTGATATCTATGACTGAAATTCCTTAGTTGGAAATGAACGTTTTTGTTTTCAGCATGACTCATGTAAAATTTGAGTTCAGATGCCCAGCAGAAGCATAGTAATCTTGTTTTTTCCCTACAGCCATAGATGCCTTTCTCTGCTCCCAGAGGGAGAGACTTAAAAGATCTGTAGTGATCTTTACAGACTTCCAAGAAAGCAAAAGCTTGTCTAAGAAAGAGGATCCATCAGTGAAGTTCTGCCTCATCTTATTTGTAGGAAGGATTGATTATGTTCCACTAGGGGATAATTTGAAGAGGAGGATATTCTTAATCAGAAGTAGCTTATAAATGAAATTTATCAAGATAAGAGTATACACTTGTAACAAAACTATACATTTGTTGAATAAATACTGCTGGTCCTTTCCATCTGTTTTTTTTTGGTTGGTCGTGGGGCTTGAACTCTGGGCTTGGGCGTGATCCCTGCGCTCTTCAACTCAAGATGTGTGCTCTACCACTTCAGCCACAGTACCACTTCTGGTTTTCTAGTGGTTTTTATTGGAGATAAGAGTCTCATGGACTTTCCTGCCTGGGCTGGCTTTGAACCGAGATCCTCAGATCTCAGCCTCCTGAATAGCTAGGATTACAGGCATGAGCCACCAGCACCGGGCTAGATGTTTCTTTAACATAAGATAAAGCTATATAGTGGTAGAGTGCTTGACTAGTATGTGTGGATGGCCTGGGGATTGATCCCTAGCACAGGGAAAAAAATAAAATAGGAATAGATAATAAATCAGTCTTTGTTTGAAGATATCCCACCTACTGTGGCTTTAGTTCCCAAAGCATTTTAAAATCTTATGTCTTATTGAACATTTATATACTTGTCTTATAGTCTGATTTTATCACATAACAGTACATCTGCATGAATCTTATCTAAAGTAGTGTAATCTAATAATTCCAGCTCCCGTGCGACAGAGTTCAGACCATGGGAAAAGACTGTTCATCATCAAACCTTCTTCCTTCTATGACAAGCGTTTTTTGAAATTATTGGTGAGTTAATTTTTTTTGTTGAGCTCAAATCTTGGCATACATATAGGAAAAATTACTGTTTTCTTTTTAGAAAATGTCTTTGTTTTTTTTATAAGAGATTTGATTTATAATTTAAAATTTCCTTCCTCAGAAGACACTGTATAGTAAAATCTGATTTGCTACTAAATTGTTTTTTAAATTAATGAAAACTTTCTTCAAAAAAAAGATTAATACTGATTGAAGGTAAAACTTAAGTCTTTTTTTTTTCTAGTATACTGAGTTCTGAAAGTAGTGTATTCTCTGCTTGAAAGAATAGAAAAACAAGTCTTCAAGACTCAGAATGTATCTTTGTGGCTCAGTGCCTGCTTATCATGTTTCTGGCCCTGGTTCCATTTCCAGCGTACACACATAGACACAGACACACACACACACACACACACACACTCATACAGAAAAAAATTACAAAGCAAAAATTGATTTATATAAAGATGATTGCTAAATACTCTTTAAATTACCAAGGAACTTCTGGAAAGACTCTTTCTAAATAAGCTCTTATTTTGGCATGTGATTTTTTAAATTTATATGTTATTATTCGGGAACATTAACGTCAGAGTGATACTGACCTATAATACAACTTTAATTTAGAGATAATAGTCTTATTTACAGTATTAACTGTATGTTTGTATTTCAGTGCTCTGGGCAAACAAACAAAAAAACAGAGGCCCAGAAAAGAGGAGATTGTTTGGGCTTCCTGCCAGTCCTGGGAGCTGGTTGGAGCTGGTTTGAGATCTTCTCTTGCCTTTCCTTTATGCTGCGCCCCCTCTTTGTCCCCTGATTGAGCTTCCTCTTGCCATAACTAAATCAAACCCCTTTTGTACTTTTTAGCTTTATTCTTTTTTTTTTTTTTTTGTCGGTCATGGGGCCTGAACTCTGGGCCTGAGCACTGTCCCTCAGCTCTTCAGCTCAAGGCTAGCGCCTTACCACTTGAGCCAAAGCACCACTTCCAGCTTTTTCTGCATATGTGGTGCTGAGGAATCGAACCCAGGGCCTCATGCATGCAAGGCAAGCACTCTACCACTGAACCACCTTCCCAGCTCCTAGCTTTATTCTTAATACAGAAAATTTTAACTTTAATTATAATGTTTTAACCAAATAGTAAAAAGTCACATATATATTGTATTATACTTTTACAATTAATCTCTTTTTTTTTAACCTCAGTTTTGGTGAAAATATAGGATCTGAAGGCTAGAATAAAACAGCATCACACAAATGAATTGTTTGATTCTGTATCTCCAATTTTATTTTGCAAACTTTAAAAGGCAATTATGAGAGGATTATTTGAGTGTGAAGAGAATTATGAGATGACCATGAGCTGTTTATTTTTAAATTTTTACAGAGATTCTACTTATTGTTGACTGGAATACCAGTAGTAATTGGCATCACTCTGCTGAATGTATTTATTGGTAAGTTCTCCTTCATTGCTGATACCATCCAAATGTTAAACTTTTAAAACATATGAACATTTATTTTTTAAATGGAAATGTTAATAGCAAAATGAAAAACTTTAGTCAATAAAATAAGCATAAGCAAGCCAAAGATAAATTCATCCTCATAATTCATTAGGATTATTGTAATCTTCTAAAAACTAATGGTATTAAAGATAGTAAACATTAGATTTTCATGGGAAATGCTATTCAGAATATTCCTAACATCTTGAATCCTAAAATATTTTATTTAGTAGGTATATAAAAGACCAGATAAAATAATTTATTATGTCTTGTAATATCCTGTAGAAACAGTTTGGATGTGGTGGTGCATACCTGCTGTCCAAGTACTGGGAAGGCTGAGGCAGGAGGATCATGAGTTCAAGGCCAGCCTGGGCTATACAGACTGACCAAGAAGAGGGTGGGAAGGGGCAGCTCTCATAGACAATGCCTTATGCCCAGAAGATGCTAAAAAATATCCAACAAATAAATTGACTTTCACCTAGATCAAAGCAAATTTCAAAAATTAAGTCTTTAGTAGTACAAATTAAGGAAAGAAGAAAAATGATTTTAACATAAAGTTAATTTATTGGTAAATAATTACTATGGGGCTTCACAGAGTGACTTATACCTGTAATCCCAGAAAGCAGAGGTGAAAATGAGGTGTATGGTGAAAGGCCAGCCCTGGAAAACCCTATCTAAAAATTAAAGCCCAAAAGGCTAAGATCATGTCTCAGATGATGAGTACTTGCTCACAAAGGTTCTGTATTCAATCCTCAATAATTGTCTCTACCCAAGGAAAATTAATATAATAGATTCCATTTTCTCTTATTAGGTGAAGCTGAATTAGCAGAAATACCAGAAGGCTATATTCCAGAACACTGGGAATATTACAAGGTCTGTAGAGATCTTTGAATTATCTTCTATTAGTTGTCCTGTCAGGCAATTGTGGGGTACAGCTTTATATTCAATATTTAGTATCACGTATATGACACATTATTTTTTTACAATCAAATGCTCTGGATACTTCATTACCTTTTATTAAATTTATCATTTTCTTAAAGATTACACAATGTGTTCTCAACCTACTAGTGTAAAAGAATTTACCCTAAATTTATTGCCATAGGAAAGATGTTTTAAATACTTAAGCTAAGCTGTCATTGTTGAGCACATACTGTGTAGCAAGCACCATGCCTAGAGTTATGCAAATATCACCTCATCTCACATAAATTAAAAGGTAACTGTTACTCCCTGTGGAGGGATGAGCAAACTTAGACTTCATGGGATTAAGTTACCTATATATATATATATATTGGAACCTAGTCACTATACTATATTGCCACTACCATCAAAACTCATAACTTTCTTTACAGGCATTGAGAAATGGCCTTAAGTGGTTGTTTCTTATAAAATTTTATTACCTAAATAAGTCATATATTTTAAAAAATTGTTACATTATTAAATTTTCAGGTAAACTAGCTGGGCAAGGTGACTCATGCCTTTAATTCCAGTTCTTTGGGGAGACCAGATTGGTGTCAGTAAGGAGGAAATAATTTTGTGAGACAGTTGGGCACCAGTGGTTCACACTTTTAATCCCAGCCACTCAGGAGCCTGATATATAAAGATTGAAATCTTGAAATAAACAGGAAAGTCTGTGAGACTCATCTCCAATTAACCATCATAAAAGCCAGAAGTGGAGCTGTGACTCAAATGGTAGAGCTCCACCGTTGAGTGAAAAGCCTAGGGAACAGCACCCATGCCCTGAGTTCAAGCTCCATAACTGACACACCCGCATGTACACACACATGTGCATGTGCACACACATGCACTCACACACACACACACAATTAGAAACACTGTCTTAGTCTAAAAGCTAGGTGTGGTGTTGTGTGTCTGACATCCCTGCTATATTGGAAGCATAAATGGGAAAATCGCAGCCCATCTAGGTGGGACCTGGAGGTACAGGACCAGGAATTATTACTATCACTGTATCTGAAAAATTACTAAAGCAAAGAAGGAATGGGAGTGTGGAGCAAGTATTAGGCCCTTGCTTCAAACCTCAAATCCAACGTGTATTTCTTTTTTTGTTGGTGGTGGTTGTGAGGCTTGAACTCTGGGCCTGGGCGCTGTCCCTGAGCTCTTCAGCTCAAGGCGAGCACTCTACCACTTGAGCCACAGCGCCACTTCCTATTGCTCCAAACCTCAATGTCACCAAAAAGAATTTTTTTTTAAAGTTTACTTTTGTTTGGATCAAACTGGGTTTGTCTCCTGCCTTGGCCAGGTAGGGCACTGCAACTTACTGTAATGAGAAAAAACACAGGCTTTCATCAGACAGACTTGTATGAATGTCATCTTTGTCATGTGGTTGCAAATCTGTGTACTTTGTTCCTCTTTAAAGTAGGGGCAAAAATAGTATCTACCTCACTGATTAAAATTACCCAGAACATGAAACAGTTGACACTTAGTAGGTGTTACAAGTTTGGCCAACTGAAATTTTTATTGTTGGTGGTGGTGGTAGTGGTGGTGGTAATACTGAAGAGATGGTGATTTTAAATAATAGTCAACTAGAAATTCAAAATCTTTGTTCAAAAACTAATTTTAAATATTTTTTTCTTGTAGCATCCTATATCAAGATGGATTGCACGTATTTTCTTTGAAAGTCCTGAAAAGAATTATGAAAAAACATTGGCTATACTTCAGATGGAATCTGAAAAGACTGACTTACGGTAAGAAAAGGGGATGGGAAAGAAAAATTGTTTCCTTAGGTTGCAAACCATAAGAAAAAAAATGTAAAACTTTCAGCTCTATTGTAAATGGATGCAGGGAGAAGAGAGAGCCTCACCAGATCACCAGACTGACTACTGGGACATGGGATCTATCAGATTCAAAGGAATAATCCCCTTTTCTTTTCTTTTTTTTTCTTTTTTTCTTTTTTTTTTTTTGCCAGTGGGCTTGAACTCAGGGCTTGAGCACTGCCTGAGCCTCTCTGTGCTAGCACTCTACCATTTGAGCCACAGCACCACTTCCAGCTTTTTCTGTGTATGTGGTACTGAGGAATCAAACCCAGGGCTTCATCATGCTAGACAAGCATTCCTTTTTTTAAAAAAATACATGTTTTGTGTATGAAGCAACTCTGCTTACCTTACCCAGTTTCCTTCCTCTCATGCCTAGTCTCATGTCTCATCTTTAATGATGACTCCTACTTAAGAATTTCTTTTTTTTTTTGAAGTGATCAGTTAAATTTAATGTATTATGTAATTATTTATAATTAATTTATTAGCAATAATAAAACTTTGTAACTGCTGCTCTTTGGCAAAAAATGAGAGCACATCCTATAATAATAGGCCCCTTACTGTCTTGCATTTGGGATAGCAATGGAGACTAGAGATGGACAGCAGGAAACTGTCCTTCTGTGTAACTCTAGTGATACTCAGGGGGCAGTGTGTTGTACACACCCATCACAGGTACTGCACAGAAATGTGAAACCCTTTGTACCGCATTCCTCTCTGCTACCATGGCTTCTTGCTACCACAATACATGCTTAGTAAACCCTTCTAGAACATGTAAGACTGGCCTTCTTATTATTGCTACTTTATAACAAGGTCACCAAACCTTGGCGAGCCTAAACGACATCTCTAAAGTGACAGCCCAACAAAACCATACTCAATCTAGCCTTTCTGTTTTCCAGTCCCATGTTTACCCTCTAGTCTACATTTGCACTCTCTTCCTATCGCTGGACCAGCCAAGGTCATGGGTAATTAGCCAGGTAGGGATCAGTGTCAGGACACTGATTGCAGCAACACCTTTTGGAACAAGGGTCGTCGATGCTGAATGCCTACATCCTGTTCATTCTCCATGTAAAGAAGGTTGAAAGTCTCCTTGCAACCCCTAGGCCTGGCTCCCCCAGGGAAACTCTTGCAGTCTCGCACTGTGAACTTCAGCTCTACATGGACCCGGGAAGCTTCTTCTCGGTAGATCCAATTGGAGCAAAGCTAGTGGTCAGTGTTTCCGCCTTCCTGCACTGGGCAGTCCTGGTACATGTACAGGGGTGTCCCATTCAGCATCTGCTGGACCTCACTCCACCCGTCCTCTGCGGGTCCAGCAACCAGCCCAGCTCTCCTTGGGCCTCACTTGTGTTCATCAGTGTGGCTTCCTCGGCGCGGGGGCAGCGGGATGCAGAGCAGCAGCGGCGGCAGCAGCCCGAGCCCCAGGGCCCAGCGCCACTCAAGAATTTTCTTATTCCTGGGGCTGGGAAGGTGGCTCAGTGGTAGAGCGCTTGCCTTGCATGCCTGAGGCCCTGGGTTCGATTCCTCAACACCACATAAGCAAAAAGAAAAAAGCCGGAAGTGGCGCTATGGCTCAAGTGGTAGAGCGCTAGCCTTGAGCTGAAGAACTAAGGGACAGCGCCCAGGCCCAGAGTTCAGGCCCCATGACCAGACAAAAAAAAAAAACGAATTTCTTATTCCTATAGGAAATACAATGTATTTAAGAAGTATATTTAAATTAGTGAGTGCTCATTCAACTATCATTAAAAAAAGAAAAGAAATATATTTTACAGTATAGCTTAGAACTATATAAACACAGGTAGAATGCTCTTATGAACACTGTTTTGCACTTTTTATTTAAACTAATGTATCTGGTGAACTTTCTATAATAGCATATATTCATTCATTTTAGTGACTGCACTATATATTTTGGATGAATGTCTGTTAGTTTTTTTAACCTGTTCCCTATTGTTGGTACATAGGTTCTTTCCATGTTGTTGTGTTTTTTTTTGGTCAGTCATGGAGCTTGAACTCTGGGCCTGGGCGCTTTCCCTGCGCTCTTCAGCTCAAGGCAAGTGCTTTACCGCTTGAGCCACAGCACCACTTCCGGTTTTCTAGTTGTTTATTGGCAATAAGAGTTTCATGGACTTTCCTGCTCGGGCTGGCTTTGAACTGTGATCCTTAGATCTCAGCTTCCTGAGTAGCTAGGATTACAGCCATGAGTCACCGGTGCCCGGCTTTCCATGTTTATTTTAAGACAGTTTTGCTGATACAATATTTGAAATTTTTTATTTTATTATTTTGATTTTGTATATCAGATATGTGTATCTCTTTCTCTGTAAATTGCCTGATTTGTACGTTAGTCTCTTTTGATTTTGTTCCAGATATGTTTTCACAGCTAATTATTTGTGTTTTAGCAATGAAGAATTTTTTGCTCATAGAATGTTTTGTTGTTGGTTCAAGTAACAAATATATATTAACAGCTATTTCCCTCCTCTCTCCTTTCCTACCTCCCCCAGTACTGGGGATTCATCCCTGGGTTTTGGATATTCTGTACTCTACCATTTCAGCCATACCTCAGTCCTAATATATTATTGAACTCTTACTATATATATATATATATATACTTGCTTTTGGGGGTGGAAAGAGGGGGGTCAGTCATGGGGCTTGAACTCTGGGTCAGGGCGCTGTCCCTGAGCTCTTCATCTCAAGGCGAACGCTCTACCACTTGAGCCACAGTGCCACTTCTGGTTTTCTGGTGGTTAATTGGAGATAAGAGTCTCACCAACGTTCCTGCCTGGGCTGGTTTTGAACTTTGATCCTCAGATCTCAGCCTCCTGAGTAGCTAAGATTACAGGGATGAGCCACCAGCCCCTGGCTATGCCTACATTTGACTTTTTATGTATTTAAATATATAGTTATTGATAAATATTTTTAATCATTTAATCACTATCATGTTTTTCGATATTTGTCTTTAGAGTCTAGGTTTTGTATCATGCAGAAACAGTATTAGTAATTAAATAAGGAAATACCTTGTTCTAAAATTACTTTTTAAAATATTCTTGTTGGAACTAGAGAAGGTTGCTTAGTAGTAGAACATGTGCTTAAAATGCGTAAGACTCCGAGTTCAGTCACCAATACTGGGAAATAATTTTTTGTTTTTTACTAATTTTGAATGTATCTCAGTGTTAGGAGTATGATGTAATTAACAGACACTCAGATGCACGCATTAAGTTCACTGGATGTGTGACAGAGCACATACCTGTATAACTACCACCCCAAGCAGTGATTTTGATTGTTCTGTAATGTTCTTTTGTGCTTCTTTCCACCCAGCCTAGTAAATACTCATACTTTACTCTTAACCCCAGGCTCTCAATGACCTACTTTCTTCATTCTGTTTAAAATTTTGTGGTTTAAAAAAAAAAAAAAAAAAGCTATGGGTTAGGTGGAAGAAGGTCACTCCTATAATCCCAACTACCTGCAGGGGCTGAGATCTGAAGATCATGGTTTGAAGTCAACCCAGGCAGGAGAGTCCATGAGAGTCTTTTCTTCAATTAACCTACAAAAAGCTGGAAATGGAGTTGTAGCTCAATTGGTAGAGCACTAACTTTGAGCAAAAAAAACTCAAGGATGGTGTCCAGGCACTGTGTTCAAGCCCCAGGACTGGTAGAAAACAAACAAGAACAAATGAAAAACAGTTATGAAAAAGATTACTAAATTTTGTAAAAGCATGTTATTAGCTGCTTTGTTTCTTAGATACATACATACATATATTGTTGCTATATAGAACTTAAGTACTTAAAAACAGAACAGTAATGTAGTTTGTGCTTAGTAAAAGAAGACTTTTCTAAACTTCAGGAACATACCTTTGAGTTCCAATTAAATGAACAGGTTCTAGAATTCCTTAGATAGAGATCCTAAACAGTTAATGATTGTCAAGAGTCTGGTGAAAATTGTATGTCCACAGAGCTGGGATTGTAGAGGAGAGAATTAATTATCAATTCAGGTGATAGTTTGGTGATATTCCATGGCTAACTACATAAATGTAGATATTATGTACATATATAGATATGAAGATAGTTTGTGTATATATATATATACATATATACATATATAAGTAGATAGTAACTACAAATGGAGTTAACTGTAAAATAGATAGTAAAAGCCACAATAAGTGCTAAATTTTGCTTATAAGTATAGCCAGGTATATGTACCTGTGTATATATAAAAGCAAAGATATTCTAGTGGTTATTCTTTGTTTTGTTTTGTTTTTTGGGTCCAGTCGTGGGCCTGAACTCTGGGCCTGGACGCTGTCCCTCAGCTCTTTACCTCAAGGCTAGCGCTCTACCACTTGAGCCACAGCGCCACTTCCGGCTTTTTTCTTATGTGGTGCTGAGGAATCGAACCCAGGGCCTCAGGCATGCAAGG